CAACAACGAGTAGTACAAAGAGTTTTAACATTTTCATACTAAGAGAGAAAGAAAGAAACGACCTCTGCATGAACAATATATTTACATTGGCATTTATGCACCAATGAATACCTACCTAACAAATAATAAATCATATACATAGATGGACAAAAATAGTATAGAGGAGAAGTGAAGTTGAAGAACCTGTGAAGAGGGAAGAGGTATATAACTAAAATAGCTTATTGTGAGTGTTTCAAATATCGATATATATGTAGAAGTATCAATAGATATATTGATATCGATTGGTTGTCTTCAATGAAAATTATAGAAAATTTCAATGAATGAGTATATCAACACATTCATAATTAGTTGAAATTAGAGAAAACTTTTACCAAAAAAAAAAAAAAAAAAAACAAGATTCGAAATATGCACTGGGTTCTGGTAAAATTTCTATAGTGAATCGATAAATATTGTCAATATTCATTGATTTACCTACATCTTGCCGATATAGGATGAAGTTTGAATTTCAACCCTCCTCTATATCTATCCTTGATTTTTCGGATATTCCACAAAAATATCGATAATTTCGTGAATATTTTAAATAAAACTGCCACGTGACGTCTTGCTCGTGCTAATAAAATAATGACATATGAACAAAAACATAAGTATATCTTTATTTTATTAGCACAATATACTTTTATAATTAATAAACTTTTATGGTAGTACTGTAATCTTACCCTACAAGTTTTATGGTAGTACTGTAATCTTGCCATTCTTTTATGGTAAAAACTTAAATATATCTTTATTTGATTTGCACAATATACTTTTATGAAAGTACTGTAATCTTACCATACAAGTTTTATATAACAAAACTCCTCCTTAATTTATATGCCTTTTGGCATGGTGGAGTTGCCGCGGGGTAGTGTGGATTTTGGCACTTTATTCATTACCAACTTATTATATAAATAAATAAAAGGGACGGTCCATAAATCAGCCTGCTTTCTTTGCGAGGATTCCGCTGTTTTTAGCTTAAGCAAGAGCATTTTTGTTTTGGCTGCATATATAGCTGAACAGTAACATTTATTTAAATATTTTCTCAATCATACGTGTTATGACAATGTTGCCAATGATTTTATAAGGATTATTTCATATTTGCTTCCTAAGCTATTGGGATTTCCCACTTTAGTCCTCCACCTTTTAAAAATGTGTCTAACGAGGATAGAATGTAACTTTCGTTGTAAAAGTTGACTGAATAACACATAACTTAATATTGAAGGACATTTTGATAACTTACCCACTTGCTCAAAATGTCTTCTATCGATTAGCACGCGACCACTTTGGTATAGAAGTAAGCATTTAAGCTAAGAAAACGGTCAAAACCAAGTCGACAAGTTTTGTTTGGAGATGCTTTTTAATCGTCACTAAAATTGACAAATTAGAAAAAATATTCCTCACCTTGAGAAAACCAATAATAAGGAAACTGTGTGGTTTGTTCTAACTAAAAACAAAATAAATTGCACTTGTTATTAATTTTGTCTACTTTTGTAACAGACGTCACTTTTCTCCTCATTTAATAGATTTTTAACAGTTCAGAGGCCAACTTCAAACAAAAACAAATTTAGATTAAAGTAGAACGATCACTAAAATTCGGGGACTAAATTTGTAATTGAACTCCTATGATAATATTCAAATAAAGATGACTAAAGATATTATACATGACAGTTTTAGTTACTTTATTATATTGTTTAATTGTTGTATTTATTTGCTGGATTAGGGTGCAAAGGGCGAATCTAGCGGGAACTGCTGATGGGGTTTTGGGCCTATATTTTTTTGCCCTAATTTTTGTTTAGAAACCGATGCACTCGTGTGCAAAGCATACTGACAAAATGCACCCTCACTCAGCTACAAGCTCACAACAATTACAAATATTTTGGCAGACTTGGAGTTTTAGGGTTTTGAAGTTTTTGAGTGAGAGACCCCCGATCGAGAGAGATCCCCAAACCCTATGTCCCGCGGGCCGCGCCTTCTCTCAGCTTTTCGAAAATTTCTATTTTTATACCATACCACCACCACCACCACCTTATTATTTTAGTGACTCGAAATAACCGTACACGCACGAAACGCGTAAACAAAAAATGAGTTATCTATTCGCTTTGTAATGCTAAGGTAAATTATATATTTAAATTAAATATTGTAAATCATTTTATGTGATTTTTAATGATTGGATTATTACTTAAATATTGATTGACTAAAATGATTTGTTCAATTTAACGAAGGTTTTTCACGTAATAACTAAAATGGTTTAAGGTAAACAACTTCATGGACCACTTCTATCTATTTTTAATATCAAAGACCAAAATGAGGGGTTATAACAATCTCATAGACCAGTTTAATTAAAAAATCATACTAAAATATTGACACTTGCAAGAAAAATCCTAATTGGATGGCCTCTTGGAAAGCAAGAATTTAGTATTTAAACATACAATATGTATTTGGAGGAGCAGCTTATCGGGGACCAATACACTTACTCAATGACGAAATTCTTGTAATAACTATAGTATATATTAGTTTCTCCATTCTCTCATGCAATAGATAAATTTTTTAATGTGCTGAAAACACGACCTGATACATCAAATGTCATATATAATTGGTTATATATATATATATATATATATATATATTTATTAAGTTTCAAACTAGTTATGTTATTATATTTAATATATCAGACCGTGTTTCCGTCACATCAAAAATATATACATGTAATGAACTGTCACCACTTTAAAGTCCTTGCTTGGTTTTTTATTAACTTTTTCAGTCTTACAAATATTTTTTTTAAGCCTGTTTTATTCAATGTTATGACGTATGAAACCTTGCTTAATTTCTTGCTCCTCTTTTTCTATGTAAATATATAGTGGAGTATTATTCAACATAACTTCTATATATATATATATATATATATATATATATATATGATAGTCAATGTATGAAGAGGCCTTAGTAATCACGCAAGTCGAGTAAATAATGATATATTATGTTTTCAAGTGAAAGATGAAAGGTAGAAGTATTGATAAATATTTAAATACACTAGATTCGCATACATGTTCAAGACAAGATGGAAAAAACTTGTAATAAGTAATAACAATTGGAATATTTTTGCTTCTCCAATGATGGGGATGCTACCACTCAGTACCGCGGTTTGATGGTATTCATTTTCACTTGAAAGTGAGAGGTCTTGTGTTCGAATCTCATGAATGGCGAATTTGAAATCAAATTAGGCTACACATTGTGTGGCTTAGTTGAACTCCCTCTCCCTTTAGTGTAAAAATATCGATGTATTAAAAAAAAAAAAGCGATGGTGATGCTCATCACTTTATTTATTATCATTAGATGAGTTTAAATTTCGAGATCTGTGTAGTGGATAGACACAAATCTCAAAAGGGTGGTGGTACCCATACACTCATTTTTTCTTCTCACACACTTCTTGTTAATTTTTGTCCTTTGTCTTCTTCAATTCACAACTGAAAATTGAGAGGGATGTGTGGGAGGTAAAAAGGGGTGTGTAGACCCCATTTCAAAATTTGAACTCATTCAACAGTGATAAATATGATGGGGAGTGTTACCTCCATTTAAGGATGGTGAACAAAAATACACTCTTACAACAATTTAAAGAGAAGTACAAGAGACAAATTCTCTTTATCCAACATTGACTGATATATTTCAATGCCTTTTTATTTTGGTAATGTATAACCTTGTTGATATATATTGAGTCGATCTCAAACTTGTTTTTAATCTATTTGTGTTGGGATTTGAAGATTGTGTTTCCGAAACTACCAAGGAATATATCCTACTTTGAATTTGGTATTTAATATGCTTGTATAGTACATACAAAAATGACAGTGATGAAAGCAAATAATCACATTATACATCACATTTCTTGTGGATAGAAGGGAGAATAACATAAGAAAATGACTCCTACATATAAAAAAATTATCCTGTAGAGATACTTAAATTGGACTAATGATCGATTTTTAGGTTTCGTCGTAACATTATTTCCAATTACGTAAACATGAATATATACTTAGTAGATGTGATATTACATTGGATGAACGCTTTGTACTCCTATTTTTTTTCTTCCAACGTAATTTGATCATGAAACATTGTAAAGTGTCCATTTTATAGGGTCATTTTTAAAGTTCATTTAAGAAAGCAAATCAAACAACTCAAAAACCGTTTTGTCATCTAATTGTTATTAAATAAATAGGTAAACTCAATGTTTTTATTAATTACTAAGAAAATAAATCGATAAACTCAAAAATTATTTAATCATTTAATTGTTATTAAGTAAATATATCAACCCAAAAAATCAACCAACTAAAAAGCGTTTAACTTATGTAGCTGTTATCAAATAAAAAGTGTGTTCACTATTTTGACCATTAACTATTGCAGTTATCACGACGTTAAACAAATGATTAAATATTTTCCAACGTTGTTGAATCTAATACTTTGTAGCGATAATCTTTGAATAATGACTTAGAAAAGTAAATATTTCCAACCATACTTCTGCCTTATTACAATATGAGAACGTGAACAAAACATACTTAAAAAAGGTAAAAGAAAGAGAAAACTGGCTAACATTACTCTAACCCAAACATTTTTGGGCAATTAACAAAATTGTAAACATTAATAAAATTATTCAGATATTTTCACATAATTCTACAATGGTATTAACAATCAAAACCCTATAATAAAGAAAGGAAGAAAATCACAATCACGTTTCAGAGACGTACGTGCGGGGTAATCCGTCCAAGTTTCCAACCAAATGCCCCGAAATTGCCAGAAATTGACACGCGAGAGAGAGAGAGAGAGAGAGAGAGAGAGAGAGAGGGAGCATATCCAAAGTTTGACTGGACCCAGAATTAGAGAAAAAAGATGGGGTGGCATCACTCCCCACAATTTACTCTCTCTCGACTTTATCTCTCCTCTGCCCCAAAAGCCCACCAACTTGTCTTGTATTATATTCTTGTTTTCTGTCTCACTTTACTTCCTCTAAAGCATCCTTCCCTCCCTCCCCTTCCTGTCCAAGGCCATTTTTTCTTTCTTTTTCTGTTCTTTTTTTCTCACCTTCCAAACAGAACCATTCATCATATGACACTTCTGAGTGTCACATTCACAGGAAATATTTTTGGGGTTTCTGCTTCTTCTTCTGGGTTCTAAAAATTCATCACTCAAACACCAAAGAAAAAAGAAAAAACAGAAGAAATATTATTAAGGTTGTATCATGTGAAATGCTATATAGTATGTACTACTACTGTACTTTGGTTTGATGTTTACCAGAGACCCGACAGTTCTGAACATCGTATCCAGAGACTCTGTCAGCTCCGAGGTCTCTCTCTCCCCCTCTCTCTCTCTCTCTCTCTCTCTCTCTCCCTCCTTTCTTTTTCTTCACCATCTCTGACTGCCCATTATTTCTGAGCACTTGCCCCTTAAGTTGAAGCCCTACTTTTCTTTTTTCCATTAATATCATCATCTTTCTCTATCATTATTCATTCATGTTATAATTTTTCATGGTATTTTCTAGCTCTTAAGTCTTAAATGTTGTGTTTTTGATGGGTTTCTTTCAAAGTTTGATGCTTTCATAAATTTTTGATGCTTGACAGTGATTTCCACCGCCAATCCCACCAACCCTTTTGTTTATTTTAATTTTCTTTTTCTGAATTTTAATTGGGTTTTTAAATTTTCAATTTTGCAGCTTCCAAGCAAGCCCCACTTGATGAAATGTGTGGAAGAAATGATATGGAGGTTCAGACTTTCAGCTCAGATCTGGAATGAAGAAAACTGGTTGAGTTTTAGGTGAACGAAAATTGTATAGTTTTTATATTTTTCTTCATTTTCAGAAATCTGCAAAAAAAACAAAAAGATACCTTTCTTTCATGGAATTCTGAAAGGTTGATGATGTTGGAGAGAGATTAGAAGTTCAGATCACAACAAGGGATGATGGGATTTTTTTCCTTTCTGCTTTTGTTTGTTTTTCACATCCACCTGCTCCTAAGTTTGACCTCAGGCGCCAGAATTTTGTCTTCAAGCAGCGGTGGCGGTGGCGGTGGTGATGTGGTGGAGATGTTGTATGCATTCAAACAATCTTCTGTTGTATCTGATCCCCACGGCATCTTATCTGATTGGAAACCTGATTCCACCACTCCTCTCTGCTCATGGAAAGGCATCACCTGCTCCTCCGACGGTGCAGTCACCTCCCTCAACCTCTCTAACGCCGGTCTCATTGGCGGCCTCCACCTTCCGCCTCTGGCCACCCTGCCGAGCCTCCAGCAACTCCACCTGCAGGGCAATTATTTCTCTGCTGCTGATCTCTCTGTGTCCAATGTAGCATCATGCAGACTTGAAACCGTTGACTTGTCCTCCAACAACATCTCCCAAGCGCTTCCAATCCGATCGTTTCTTCAGGACTGCGACCGCCTTGTTTTCGCTAACCTGTCTCGAAATTTAATCCCCGGAGGCGATCTAGGGTTTGGTGCTTCTCTGCTTCAGCTGGACATCTCTCACAATCTGATTTCGAATGCGGATTCGTTGACTTGCAACAGTCTGAACTTGCTCAATATTTCACACAACAAGCTCACCGGAAAGCTGAGTGATTCTTTCTTGTCCTGCAAGAATGTATCAACCCTTGACCTTTCATACAATAGCTTTTCCGGGGAATTACCGAACAGCTTCATTGCGAAGGCTTCAGCTTCTCTCAAGTATTTGGATCTCTCAAGCAACAATTTTTCGGGGACGTTTTCCGCCCTTGATTTCGGGCAGTGCAGCAGCCTCACTTTGCTTAGGCTATCACACAATGCACTCTCCGGGGATCAGTTTCCTCCAAGTTTCGAAAACTGTCAGGCTCTGGAGACGCTAGACCTCTCGAATAATAAGCTTGAGAACGAAATCCCGGGTGTTTTGTTGGGAAATCTCAAGAAATTGAGGCAACTATTTCTTGGTCATAATCTTTTTTCGGGTGAAATTCCAGCCGAACTAGGAAAAGCTTGTGGGACTCTTCAGGAACTTGATATTTCTGGTAACATTCTCTCTGGAGAGTTCCCTTCGAGTTTTTTGTCCTGCACTTCATTGGTTAGCCTCAATCTCGGACACAATCAGCTCTCGGGGAATTTCCTCAATACCGTTGTAAGCAGTCTTCCGAGCTTGAGATATCTCTATGTACCATTCAACAACATAACTGGTTCTGTGCCGCTGTCTCTTACCAATGGCACGCAGCTTCAAGTGCTCGATCTCAGTTCGAACACCTTCACTGGGAACATTCCTTCAGGGTTTTGCTCCTCCAATGCTGCATCAGTTTTAGAAAAGGTGCTTCTAGCTAACAATTTTCTGTCCGGGAATGTGCCCTCGAGCTTGGAAACTGCAAGAACCTGAATTCCATTGATCTGAGCTTCAACCACTTGAGTGGTCCAATTCCTTCAGAAATTTGGAGATTGCCGAAGCTCTCTGACTTGGTTATGTGGGCAAACAACCTCACCGGTGAAATCCCAGAAGACATTTGCATCGATGGAGGAAACCTGGAAACTCTGATTCTCAACAACAATCTCATCACTGGAACCATTCCGCGGTCTATTGTCAACTGCACCAATATGATTTGGGTGTCACTATCTGGTAACCGCCTTAGCGGAGATATCCCATCTGGCATTGGGAATCTACATAAGCTTGCTATACTCCAGTTGGGCAACAATTCGCTCTCGGGACAGATTCCAGCTGAGCTTGGCAAGTGTGAGAACCTCATTTGGCTTGATTTGAACAGCAATGGCCTAAGTGGTTCTATCCCACCAGAGCTTTCCAACCAAGCCGGCCTAGTCCTTCCTGGGATTGTGTCCGGGAAGCAGTTTGCATTTGTAAGAAATGAGGGTGGGACATCTTGCAGGGGTGCAGGAGGACTAGTTGAGTTTGAGGGAATCCGAGCAGAAACACTAGAAAAGTTTCCTATGGTTCACTCGTGCTCGTCGACTAGAATTTACTCTGGATGGACAGTTTACACATTCACCAGCAATGGCAGCATGATCTTCCTTGATCTATCCTACAACTCCTTGACTGGAACCATTCCTGAAAATTTAGGTACGCTGTCCTACGTACAAGTCCTTAACCTAGGACACAACAAGCTATCCGGAAACATTCCTGATAGCTTTGGAGGATTGAAAGCAGTTGGAGTCCTTGATCTCTCTCATAACAACCTTCAGGGTTTTGTCCCAGGATCGTTGGGGACTCTCTCTTTTCTGAATGACCTTGATGTGTCTAACAACAACCTCACTGGTCCCATCCCTTCCGGAGGTCAGCTGACCACTTTCCCAGCGTCTAGATATGAGAACAACTCCGGCCTTTGCGGGGTACCCTTGGTGGCATGTAGCTCTCAAAGGCACTCAACAGATTCCAAAGTTGGAGGGAGAAATAATTCTTTGACTTCAGGAATGGTAATTGGCGTCACGTTCTTTTTCTTCTGTATCCTCATACTTACGCTAATGCTGTATCGGGTGAAGAAGTACCAGCAGAAGGAGGAAAAGAGAGAGAAATATATCGAAAGCCTTCCAACTTCCGGTGGCAGCAGCTGGAAACTTTCCAGTGTTCCCGAGCCTCTGAGCATCAATGTTGCCACATTTGAGAAGCCTTTGAGGAAACTGACCTTCGCCATCTGCTCGAAGCTACCAATGGTTTCAGTGCAGACAGCTTGATAGGCACTGGAGGATTTGGCGAGGTCTACAAGGCACAACTGGGAGATGGCTCTGTTGTTGCAATTAAAAAGCTAATCCAAGTCACAGGCCAAGGTGACAGGGAGTTTATGGCGGAAATGGAAACTATTGGGAAAATCAAGCACCGAAACCTGGTTCCTTTGTTAGGGTACTGTAAGATTGGCGAGGAGAGACTTCTTGTGTATGAGTACATGAAATGGGGAAGTCTGGAGGCTGTTCTTCATGACAAATCTAAGGCAGGGGTTTCAAGGCTTGATTGGGCAGCAAGAAAGAAGATTGCTATTGGTTCCGCGAGAGGTCTAGCTTTCCTTCACCATAGTTGCATACCTCATATTATCCACCGCGACATGAAGTCTAGCAATGTTCTTCTGGATGAAAATTTTGAGGCCAGAGTATCTGATTTTGGCATGGCAAGATTGGTCAATGCCCTTGATACTCATCTCAGCGTGAGCACCCTTGCAGGCACTCCGGGTTATGTTCCCCCCGAGTACTACCAGAGTTTTCGATGCACAACAAAAGGGGATGTCTACAGCTACGGTGTTATTCTGCTAGAGCTTCTCTCGGGAAAAAGGCCTATAGACCCGTCAGCATTTGGTGATGACAACAACCTGGTTGGATGGGCAAAGCAGCTTCAGAGAGAGAAGAGATGGAATGAGATACTGGACGCTGAGCTGTTGACGCAGATATTTGGTGAGGATGAACTATACCAGTATCTGAGGATTGCCTTTGAGTGCCTTGATGACAGGCCATTCCGAAGACCAAACATGATTCAAGTTATGGCAATGTTTAAAGAGCTTCAGGTTAGTTCAGAAAATGACGTCCTTGATGGCTTTTCGCTGAAAGAGACTGTTGTTGAGGAACCATAAAAGAAAGACTTAGTTCATAGCACACGTCAACCGGAGGTGGTTCCAATGATCAAAGAAGTTTCTGAAATCGAAGACGGGAGGTCCTATCCTTCGCAGTGTGCGGACTGTATATAATAGAACCGTGAATCGGAGAGAGATGTAGAAGAAAACGCATAGGGAGAACAAGGTAAATGATGAAGTCTCTTGTTAGCTCAAAGTTGGGGTGAAATGTATATTCGTTTATTCGAAAAATCGTGTGTATAACCAAGACTTCGAAAAGGACTTTGTTTCTTTCTATTTGGCTTGTGTTCCTTCCTCTCTCACAGTTTTGCTAACTAGTTTCACCATTGTCCATCACACTTGGTTTATGTTCATAGAAAGCTGATATGTGATTTTGTAAAATTGTAATAGCAGTCCTTGAGTAATTGGAATCTTTTGCAGTTTGCTTAATATATTTCTGTGATTGTTTTCATACATTGTTCATCATTTATCGTTCTGCTTTGGTGCTAAACTTCCGCCCTGCACCAGATTGTTAGCTCCGAAACTCCAACCTTTTCTCTTGAGCTCACTACAGAAGACAAGAAAGGGTTCTTGATATTGTACTAGTGAAGTCATCCTCTCATCCTCTCATCCTTTGCCTTTGTGGTATTGTAATTCTAGAAAAAAAGGAAAAAACCCGAAAGTCTTATGCCTCGTCTTGCAAAATCCCAAGTGCCTCGCTCTATGCCTTCGCCTCTGAAGACACTGGTAACCCAACTAAAAAATTCATATTTTTCAGTTACACTTAGAAATTATTCATCTCCAAATCCTCCTTATCAAATTTGTTTAACATGTTTGTTCATAATCTCAATGTGAATGCACTAGTTCTTAAATTTATTTTACCTTTAGGGCTAGCTATTCCTGTTTCAATTTTACCTTGAATTTGAAAGATATGCATGGTTTTATGTGAACAAGTATGACTCAACTTTATCACTTATTTTCTAGTAAAAACTAAAAAGCTCTATAGAACTTAAAGTGAGCACTTCCTTCACCTTGTTCGATGTCTTCTGCTACTGTTTAGTTGTTGAGGGTACAAGGCCCACTGCAGCATGACCTCGGGTGCGGTTGCAGCAGCACATTCACATTCACTCTTTGTGTGAGTGTGCCGCCGCATATAACAACCGTACAATATAATTTTTTCGCCTAATTAATTTTCAATAAAATTGTTAGTTGAGCAAGTGGGCAGACTAAAACAAACTAGGTAAAATTAAAATTACCATTGACCAAAAAAAATAAAGAACAAGGTAATATTAAAGCTTTTTGTCACATGTTTTGAGGTTTAATTGGTGATTAGTCCTGAAAAGTTAAGGTGATATGCATGGTGCATTTGAGAGGCAAGCAGTTCATGATGACATTCCGAGGCCTACCATAGACTTCATTCTAATGTTTTAAAATTTTTGGAGCAAATTTACCGCTATCAAAATTCAAATAATTTCCTTCAATATCCTCCATTCAAATTAGATGTACAGCAGTCGTATCACGTGTTTATGTGACTACTCACATAACTCCAAACCCCACTGCATTTTCTCGACATCTCTGCCCATCCATAGCCCCACCCCATAAGAATTTGTATCCGTCCGGTCGCACACAAGGCCACCCCACGAGGATAGATTATCAACTGATTAGCTGACCATTATTGTTGTAGGTCGAACTTAGTCAGCAAACTTAAGTAGGAACCTAATTTCGAGTTTAAATCTTCTGTATTCATTTTACGTGTGGTTTTTTTTGTAGTCTCCACCGTTTATTAACACGTGTCATAATGTTAACCTCACTTAACTATGTTTTCATAAATTTAACACGTATCAATTAATCAATAATATAAACTACCGAGAGACTACACTCAAAATTAATACAGAAGATTTGAACTCACTAATCTCAGGGTTTTGAAGTTTTAGTAGTAAGTTGTCTTCAATGATGATGACAAAGCATGTGGATTCGTTTTCTCTGTTGGAATTATGAGCCCATATCATTAATTAGTCTCTAATCACAGGGCTAAGTTTAGATTACTTTATGGAGCTTTATGCATTACCTCCATAATATCTGCATTTTCTTTCGGTAATGTTGGGTAATCTTGAGGACTTTGTGCAGATTTTCTTGTCGGTACTGCCCATTAAAAATGAATAAGTTGAAACTTCTTTTGGTTTTTTGTGGTGACTTCTTCTTTAACCAATATCTAAATTGTGATTATATTCTAATTACTCATATGCTTATATGTTTATCAAATCAATCTTTTTCAGATACTGGTTTACAGCCTGATACTTTAAATTTGGTCTTGACTAATCAAACCCCTTTCCGATTGTGATCTAAACATGTCAGGAAGTGGAGAGCTATGTTATATCGGAAAGTTAAAAGAACCTTCTATTAGCTTATACGAAGTTGTTAAGTTGGTCTACTCTTTGGATTAGTTTTGACGTGGAGTTTGAAATTTCTTTATGGTATTGGATGTGAGAGTCGCCCCACGTCAAAGAGCTATGTTTTATTGGAAACTTAAAGAACCTTGCACAAGCTTATATGAAGTAGTTCAGTTGGTCTACTCCTCTGATTAGTTTTGAGGTAAAATCTAAACTTTCTTCATATTATTAGACGTGGAGAGTCGCTACAAATGAAAAAAGTGAAAGACACTTAAACATTTTTCCTATTGACACATTGGGCATGTTTTGAATTTCTTCTGCAAGGTATTTGAGTCAATGAATGGTTATCCGTCTCATGAATTCAACCATATAAGTGGCTCTTTATCAATTAGTCCAAGTAGATTTTCTCATAGTTAGTACATAAGTAATTAGTTTTATAAACACTAGCCTTTCAGCATGGGCTCACGCATAGGTTTGTTAATTTTTTGCGCGATCCGTTAATCCGATACGAAAATAACTAGTTTTGGATCAACTCATTAACAAGTTGTTGCTATTGGGTCACCCGTCAAGAACCTGTCACGAGATCTAGACATTAGGCGTGTTAATTCTTGTATGACTTGTTAACCCAACACGTAACGACATGACCTGTTAACGAATCGGGCTGCTATCTGCTCACATGTTAAGAACTCGTTAAGATAATTGGTTTGACACGACACTATCCGTTAAGATAACATGTATGACATGAAAATGACACGAACAAGACAAACACAACCCGTTTGTTAGCCCTAGCTCGCACGTATGCCAAATGACCCGTTTGCCAGGCCTAGCTCACACTTATGCCAAATGACTTTGTCTATCTTTGTTGTAATTCTATTCTTTTTATTTTTGAAGAGTAACAACTATTTTATTTTATTATTATTATTTATTTATTTTTTTTGAAGTGAGAGTGACAACTATTTAGGAACAAGAGAAATATGGACTTGTAAACACAAACTTTTAGTCACGAGATTATGCAATTTTTTCTTCAATAGTGAAAATAAACTTTGAGAAATGAATGGTGAAAATTGTTTAAAAAGTCAAACTACTGAATAGACTAGACTACTAAAGACAAACCCGAGATTATGATTCTCTTGTTTTTCTTTCAACAACTAGTCCTATTGTGTTGTATATGATTCATGCTTTATCTTCAGGAACCTTGAGCCTTTAATTGTTATTGAGATTTTTCTTCTAGTGGGGTAAGCTCTCCAAGTACTTTTTGTGTCCTTTAAGACGAACAAAACAAGCTTCAAAGATCCTGATGGCCAACAGAAAATCACATACACTGTTAGGGGATTCTAGCGCTAGTTATAGGGGTTACCCGAATTCAAGACTCGGAGATTAATTATCTATCATCATCGATTGTATATAACTATGTAATGACAAAGCCACAATGCAGTTAGTGCAGTCATTTGACTCAAACAATTTGTATTTTCTTTCAATAATCTTGAGTTGAGATATATAATTTGGCCGCAACATTTGACTTTTTCTTTAACGTGAGAAACAAAATATTTGACGAAATATATCTCATAAAGTTTTTCTTTGTTTAAAATCCCTTTACACTCCCCCAATCACCACAAATTCACGAGCCCACCACTTTTAACCATATGCATGGTTCTTTGCTCACATTACTTATGCGAATTCGAACCACTTTATTGCTAGCTCATTGTGAGATTAAGCCCACCCCTCCCCTTTAGTGTATATAACATCATTTGTTCAAAAATAAATCGAACATCCGTTTGGTCACCAATGTTAAGTATTGAAGTGAGATAGATGTCATTACAGCATATATGAATGTCATACAATAATAGGACCAAGTATTTGTAAGTATTGTATTCAAATCCAAGATTTTGAGATAGATTTCTTTATTCGTAGGACTGTTTCAAACTCGAGACGTCTTTCAGCAAAATGAAGAAAAACCACTTTCAAGAAAAGGATTATTTATGTAGAATCAACCGTTGCGCGTCGATGATTTGTATTTCATGTTTTCGAACCATTCTGCTTGCATTATGATTTTCATTTATAAGGTTAGATCATATGAATTGTGCTTTCGATGTACAATGAACAAATTGGTAGGTTACATAAAAGAATATGTGGTATCAAAAAAACCCGTACGAATTCTCAAGCCTCAGATGAAGGACCTGGAAATATACACTTCGTTTCGAAGCCAAACTCCACAAAAGCAAAGAAAAAACCAGTCTGACAGAGCAACTTCCGTTCTCTCTCGCTTTGCTTGGAGCTTCGAGCTTCTCTTTCGCGTGGGCAGACTCACATTCAGGCCTGGCAACGGCTCTGTTGCTAAAAGCTAATGGCCATTGTTAATCTCGTCGAGATTCTCTATTCTATGTTGATGAACTGTTTTCCTGTGATTTATCTCCTCTCTGCATAAACACGATATCATCCGATGAGACATTATAGCATCAAAATTTCTTCAAGTGCAAGCATAAATTATCACGAAAGGAAAAAGCGACTAGAATATACAGTAAATTTCCCAAGCATAAACAGCAGCATGATTTGTAACTAATGAACGGGCAAGTTCACATTTTTGTTTACACCAAAGCAGACATAAAGGGAAAAAAGGAGAAGAGGGATTCAAAGTACATCCTTAAGGTCCATATTTTGCAGTTTGGCCGAAAGTGTTGAAAGTAAAAGAGAACAATCAGATTAAAATATATGAGGTTAAGGGCAAGGCTAATAGTGCCGGTGTAGTTTAAGAACAGGCAGCAAATATAGGAGAGGAAACAAGGTATCATATCGTATAACCATAAAGTGAGAATGTATTGAAAACCTGAGACAGTTCAAGATTGAATCGTAATGAAGAATAGCAACGATTCTTCGCTTTATTTCTTTTGGTGGTTCTCTGACACGCTTAACCACAGGCAACTGCCTTATATCCTTGGCCTCCATTAGCTCCTTGGCCATTGCTAAATCTGTGTCCGGATAACAGGTAAATAAACCACGCGCTCGTCCACTATAGAGAGCTCGTCGAGTGCAAACAGATGAAACAAGACATGTATTTGCCTGCAAAGATTTCAAGTTCGGATATAATTAGAAGACTACAAACTTTTATAGTAGAAATAACACCAAACACATTATGAAATAAAGAAACTAGGGATTAACTAAGAACAAAACTTATGGAAGACATAACACGTGTGCACATCATCACATACATCCAAAAATCTAGTATCGCTCTTTGATGTATCACTAGAATTCTTCGATTGAAATCGTCTAACATCACCGTATGTTAATACTCCCTCCAGAAAATCTTCATCATCAACCACTAACACACAATTCTGATGACTCTCGTGCATGCATTTTATTGCCTCTTTCAGAGTCAAGCTCACAGGAACCTTCACATATTTCTTTGACATGGCTTGCGAAACCTGATATAAGGGATAAACAAGTGAGCAAGTCAGGTATAATGAAAGCAAAAAATGAATATAGATGCTGCAGTTGCAAAAGAAAGTGAAACAAAATCAAATTAATTGATAACAACTTGAATTACACATTGAGGTTGTCCATTTATGTGTGAGTGAGTGAGACAAATAGATCTTGATAAACAATTTTAAAGAAGAAATGTGAAACCTTTAGATCTTCCAGAAGCAATTCTTCACTAACTAATTCGGGGTCAGAATTGTTTCCAATAACAGTTAGTTCCAAGTCATCTCCATCATCACATTGTCTCCAACTAACTTCGTCTTTTTCTTCATCAGCCGAAACATGAGAATAAACTCTTGCTGAATTCCGTGTTTCAGATGGTTCAGTCTCCTTTGCCTGGTTTACCACAGTGGGCACCCATATTGCCAATCCAACAGCCCCCTACTTGCACGAAACAAATATTAACACCAAGCAATAAAAACTTGTGCACCAAATACAAGAATTAAAATGTATATAAGCATAAGAATACCATGAGAGGGAGCAAAATCCGGTAGTCTTTTGTGAGCTCAAACAGAAGCAGAACTGACGTCAATGGTACTGAACAAACTGAAGCTAGTGTAGCAGCCATTCCAACCTGCCGAAGTTTAAAACTATCTCAGTCATATCATATGGACTAAAGTATGTATTTACCATTGCAGAAATCAAAATGAGCCACTTATAATGAGCTTTACCAGTGCATAAGCCTGTGGCTGGGCAACAGCAGCATTTCCTGGAATCGCTGAGTTTATCAGTTCTGCAGCTGAACCCCCAAATACAGCACCAACAGCAGCACCAATCATCAAGCTTGGTGCGTATAGGCCACCTACCAGCCCAGAACCCTTGCATAAAGCTGTTGCCACAACCTTAGCTGCTGATAACTGAGTTAACAGCCAGATTCCAGGAGCTGAAGCAGTCCTCCCAGTGTGCAAAATTTCTTCAACATTTGTAAATCCCCAATACAGAATTCCAGGATACTTAAGAGCGATAATCCCAGCTCCTAAACCACCTAAAGCTGGGCAGGCAACATCAGGAAGACCAAATCTTTCCTTGATAAAATCAAAGAACTTTGTGAACCAAGCAACCAATCGAGTCAAGGCTACACTTACAGCACCACATAGCATTCCCAATATCAGGTATAGAGGAAGTTCTACAAGGCAACATCAAAACATATAAAAAGGAATCTCAGAACAGATGCACCGAAATCATTTATCTTAAAATTGAAAAATGCATGCAAGACAGAAATTCAGCAGTGTACATGTCCTAGGAAATTTTCATACCAAGTTGCATTTTAAACAATTCATTAATAGAAAAAAGGAACTGATGGAATCAAAATGTGGTACAAATCATATGTAAAGTGACTGCTCCACACCATCAAGTCAGAAACAGATCAAAAGCACTCCAACAAAAATCTCACTAAACGCTCAAGCACAAAACTTTTGCCATAGTTGTTTGAGGAACATCACATAAGCGCACATAAATCAGATAATGTATATGCCTATATGCCTAAATAAATTGAAAACATTACCTATATGGCTAAATAAACTGAAAACATAGTAAACACATACATACACACATAAAATAAATTAACATTATGAATTAATTTTATTGAAGAAAAGGAAAAAATAAACTATAAATGAGAAAAAGAAAGAAAGAGAGGAGAATATCAAGTACCAGCAGCAGATTTTAAATCGTATGTAGGCACTGTAAATGCTGACTGAGTCCCTTGTAAAACATTAGATACAGTGGATGATATAACAGAAGCCAAAATAATCATTGCAGTTGTAAATGGAGGTGAGTTTTCTGCTCGAAGAGGCCTTAACACCGTTTCAATAGCAAAGAAACAACCAGCAACTGCCGCGTTGAAACCTGAAGAGAAAACATCCTAAAAGTTTACTACCAAACTTGTTCACTGGTAAAAACAGTTCATAAAGATTCTCACTGTTCTAGGAGTACAAAACTAAATTTGTTCATATTTGTGATTAAGGCACATAAATGAACATAATACGAATGAGAAAAAGGTGAGTGCATCTCATATCGAAGGTAAAGTTACTCAAACATGTTACTCTAATTTAGAAACAAATTCCAAGATTAACATCAATAAATAGCACACTTGTTATCTACATAATTTGTATTTCATGATCTCAAAGACAGCTGGATGTTGCAAAACTAAAGAAATGAATCAACTGTACACCACATAATTACATTCAAATGAAGTTTCAATCTCCCACAGTTGTTAGTCATAAAGAACAGATTCTTTTCTTCTTTTGAAAATAATATATAATAATTGTTCAAGTCAATACTAAATTAGGGTGTTTCCTATAAAATATTGTATCAGTGAAAACAAATTGAGCACAAGAAAGTCTAGGTAGTACCTGAAGAAATTCCAGCTGCTGCACCTGCTGCAACAAGGGCAATCTTCCTTTCTCTGTTGTTCTCCATCATTAATGAGATTCCATTGGCACAAGATTTTCCAATATCTACACTAGGGCCTTCAGGACCCAAAGAACAACCAGTACCTAAAGTAACAGCTGCTTGGACAGCCTTTATTGAGGGAAAGACTGCAGCAAGTAAATCAAATCCTTGTCTTTGAGAGGAACCGGACTGCCTTATCTGGCCTAATATTTCGAGTAAACCATGCATCATGCCAACAATAACCCCACCCGTGACTGGTATTAAGAGAATTCGATGCCAAGTATCGCCCAGTCTCTGCAGACGAAGCCATGCAGCACCATCACTTGGAGTACCAGCCCAGGCCCATTCATGTATAACATGTACCTAGATGAGCACTAGGGCGTCAATCAATGTTAATAGAATAAACAAAAGAAAAACATACTGTTATATAGACTGTACAAGCTAAACAACCGTACCAGGAAGCACCATCTTTTATTTGTTATTGGTATCATTTCAAAATGTAGACCATTTTGGATCACACCGAGTCATACAGACACTGGCATAGAAACAAGCAACAAGTTCCCACATTCTTTTTTCTTAACTTAGGAACACTGTAAGTTTTATCACAATATGCAGATTTTAGAAGCTAAACAATCGAATTAACTAAAAATGACACATACTTTTACAGACGATAGAAGCCAAAAACGATGCAGAGAAGCACAATATTTTTATCTCTTATTGCTAAAAACAAGAACCATGCCCATCAAAACAACTGACATTATTTCCAAATACAAACAACTTTCGATCTAACGCAATACATGCTAACAGAGAAATTGAGGTTGGAAATGTGCAGAATCAGCATCCTAAGAACCACAACAAGTGTCAAACACAAAAACCAGTGCTGTAAACCTAAGCAGCAAGTTCATACCCTTTCATAAATCTACAAACGTCAGAAGTTTTTTCATGATGGGTAACAATTGGATATCCGAAACATCAATGGGTTTAAGCATTGGAGGTATTAAAGCATTCTAAGAAACTTAACATATATCGAACACAAAATACAGTGCTGAAAAGCTAAGCAACAAGTTCCCATCTTTTGCATAAATTTACAAAAATTACAAGTATTTTTCATGATGGGTAACAACTGGATCTCTCAAAACATTACTGGGATTAAACATCGGAGGTTTTGAAGCATTCTGAGAACCGTAACTAGTGGCAAAAACCTAAGCAACAAGTTCACATCTTTTGCATAACTTTATAAAATTTACAAGTTTTCTCATGATGGGCAGCAATTGGATCATCAAATCATTAATGGTATTACACAACTGGAGGCTCCGAAAGATCGAAAACTTACCCCTTTGTTAAATGCGGCAACAAGGAGACCAGTGGCGAGGCCGAGAAGGCAACCAAGGAGAAGCAAAGCCCATTCGGGCGGCGCACTATCGGCAAGGTCATCATTACCGTCTATTCCGGCCGAAGACTCATGATGCTGCTGATTATGATGGTGGTGGTGATCTACAGGGGGCCGTTGCTGGTCTCTAATCTCTCTACCGCCGTGATTTGGGGAATTATCTCGGCCGCGCTTGACATTGAGACGGCGGCCGGAAAGCCCACCTCCGCCGTCCAAATGCTTGATCAGCAGATCCTTGAAGCCTCCGACTCCGCCTCGTCTACTGGTGGGACTAATACTGCTTTTCCCGCTGCTTATTAATCCCTCCTGAGCTTCCAAGTCGTTGTCTTTCTCTGCCGAAACGCCGGCGTTTTCGTCGTTGGTAACGTCGTTGGAGGATCGCAGCAGATGATTCTCATCGCTGTATTCCTCTCCTGACATCTTCCCCAACACCACCACCAAACCCTAGAACCCCAATTCCCTCTCTCTCTCTCTCTCTCTCTCTCTCTCTCTAGAATTCTGTACAATCAACAATCCTCTGTTGCATCTCGATCTTCCTCTTGTTGTAATTCACTGTGCAATCACACGCATTCCTTGTGTGCTTCGAAATATTGCAATGTCGTTTTTGTCGTTCAAATCTATCAGTTTTGTTTTTGGGGTTTCCATCCTGTCACTATGTGTTGGTAACTACGCCTTTTTACTTTATTTGGGTCAAACCGTTCGAGTCACCAAAACACCTCTTAGGTTATGCATTACCAGTTGCGGGTTGGAACGGTAAATTTGATTTCGATAAAGTATACGTTTATATACGATGATGCAGATTCGATTTTCACTGTTTTTATTTAATAACTAATTATTTAACTTATTAATGTTATTTTTTTTGCCAAGAAAACAAAGAATTATTCTTTTTCTTAATTGAAATTCTTAGGCCCGTAAGTTAGCATGAGATTTCAGACCACGCTAATAAAATTTTTGAATTCAAACCTGAAATTTCAAATTAGAATATTTTCTGAAAAATTGGAATGAAAATTGAAACACATTTAGAGATTTCCAAAATTTCTAAATTGCTGCTCTGGATTTTTTTTTTCAAAGTGTTTGAAACTTGTTATAAAAATAAAAATAAAACTTCCAGTTGTTTATAGTTATGCACTCAAATTATATACTTATAAGCAACTTTTGTGTTTATCGTTAACTTTGAATACGTTTTTTTCATTATTTTTATTGAACGTACACTTATATATTAAAAAGGGTAAGCATACTACTATACTATAAAATTAATTAAATTTATACATAGGCATATACCTTTTTTTTTTTTTGGAGTATAGGCATATACCAAATATTAAGAAAGAACAATAAATTGTATGTACGAAAAAGTTAGAGAACATTAAAACGTTATAAAATATATGAGTTTCCGAATTATGTTCTAAAATTTTCGAGATTACTCTGATGACTAATCTTAATCGGAATAGAAATACAAAACTGAATTTTAATTATGGGATACTTTGATATTTACTAAATATTAAGAAATTAAAAAGTTGGTTCTCACACAAATTTTTGAACTCTAAAATTTGAAAAAATTGGATTCCTATGGTAATCCACTTTTTGTACCTATTATACCCTCACATGATCTCTAAATCCCACACTTGCCCTTCACTTTAACCCTACAGCAGTTTCCGCGTTCTTTCTTCCTCCTCTGCGCGTTCACCGAACAACCGTCGCCGTCCACCACTAGCAACCCCCTCAGTTGTACCTTCCCCCACCACATGCAATTAGAAGATTCTCAACATGCAGAACTTCTAGAGGAGCCAAAATACTATTAACTATTACGATTTTTTTACAAAAGTCCTGACTACTAGGGAGTTCGAAAAAAGAACTTAATTAAGACAACAGGTAAGTGGTTGAATTACGGTCCCGCCTCTTTCATGCAGCCATCCCATCTTCACAGCCAAAGCTCGTCGTCGTTATTCAATCTGTCCTGGATTCGAACGTCGAGAGTTTCATAGGCATGCTCTCCCCTTCGATATCCAGTGTGCATTCAACGTGAGGGAGCACCGGAGTAGGTGGTGATGGTGGTTGGCTGTGCATCTGCGGGAGAGGTTTTTAGAAGATTCTCAATATTCAGAACTTCTAAAGGAGGCAAAATATACCTGTCAACTACACGGGTTGATAGATGGATTACAAGACCTTTTGAATAAGAGCAACTTAAGGTCAAAGTTTAAACTCCGATGTAACTCGTGCTGATATTATGAAGTACTATCTGCCTGGGAAAAATCATCAAGCTTCGAGGTCTACTAATCTTTCTGGCATTGATCTCTCTGGATTGAATCTATGGAAAGTAGACTTCAGCAATTCATGTATGAAAAATGTCACATTCTAGATCGGCTCCGCCGTAGCATGATATTGTTCGTTTTTGGGTCACACCCTCACGGTTTTGTTCTTGGGTTTGGGCACCAGAACCTCCGGTGGATCACCCATCCTAGGACTGCTCTCGACCAAACTCACTTAACTATGGTGTTCTCATGGGATACATAGTCAGTGAGTCCCCAAAAGGCCTTACGCGGGCATGTACATATAAGGCATATCATCCTCTCTCTGTTGATCGATGTGAGATGTTATAAGAAATGTTCTACAACGTGGATGCTGAAGGTGCTATTTTTGTCCATGCAAATTTGTTTAATTCCAGTTTTGCTGGGCCAAATCTACGAGGAGCTTCTTTTGTGGGTGCTAAAGGTTACAACCTTGCTCATGCATTATGTGTGAAAGATTGTAGGAAAATGAGGATTATGATGGACTTGCTCATAGGAAGCTAGATGAATCAATGTTCTATTTATTTTATTGGTGGAGTTTATTTTTTGCTGAGTAAAAGATTTTACTTTTCGCAGTTATTTGTTTGTAAAATGATGTGTTTTAAAAGTTTTTATTCACTGTATAGTGCACGAATTGTATTTGGTCAGAAAAATTTGTTCCCCAAATTTGAGAGCCAAGTGATAGAATACAACCGTAATTAGGATTCCTTTTTTCACGACTAATTTAAATAATTGTATTGTAATTATATTTCCTTCCCACTTAGGAATCCTAATTCTTTTACACCAAGGCTTGTAATTGTATAAAGGGGTTTAACCTACGAATGAAATTGTCCCATTCAATTTACTATTTTTACATGGTGTCGGAGCCTAGGGTAGGGCAAATAGTATTTTCCGGCAGAGCCGCCTAGGTTAAGGCTTGCATATTGGCATATTGCCAACTCACTCATCAGTTTCTCTCTCTCAAAGTTTCGAAGCCATGGCAGACGGCTATGACTCTTCATCCTTGGTTCACCTCAATGTTGGAGGAAGAAAGTTTTCGACCACTGTTGGTACTCTAACTCAGCGCGAGCCTGATTCGATGCTAGCTGCAATGTTTAGTGGCCGTCACACTTTACGCCAAGATAAGAAGGGATATGTTTTTATCGATAGGGATGGTAAGCTTTTTCGGCAAGTCCTTAATTGGTTAAGAGACGGTGATATTCCTAAACTGGAAGTTACCCAATATGCAGAACTTCTTAAGGAGGCAAAATACTATCAACTAGTTGGGTTGACAGATGAATTACAAGCTGAACTTCTGCATACGGACAAGGGTGAAAGTCTAAACTCAGATGTAACGCGCGCTGATATCATGAAGTACTATATACGCGGGAAACACATCAATCTTCGAGGTGTTAATCTTTCTGGCATTGATCTCTCTGGATTGAATTTATCGAAAGTCGACTTCAGCTATTCGTGCATGAGATATGTTCGTTTCTCAAATGCAGATATTCGGGATGCTAAGTTCAATTATGTAGATGCTGAGGGTGCTACTTTTGACAATGCAGATTTGTGGGATTCTACTTTTTATGGAGCAAATCTACGAGGAGCTTCTTTTGTGGGGAGTAAAGGGTACAGACTCTTTGGGGCATCTTGCGTGGAAGATTGTAGCTGCTGAAAGTCACCCTTGACAATGTTGGTTGTTAGAAATCCTTCAAGGAAGCTAGATATTAATCATTTTTATATTTCTTTTGATTTATACTTAATTGCAATGGGATGATCTCTGTGTATTTTATGTGTGGAATTTATCTACTGATTTATCAGTAGATTAAATTTTGTAGAGTAAATTAAATACTTTATTTTGGGTTTGTTTATAAGTGATTTTAAAATAACTGATTTTTTTTTATATATTTTTTTATTTTTTGTAAAAGTGCTTTTGAAACCAATCTTTAGTAAAAATTTAAGTGAGTTCTAGAATAACACTCGTAAGAAGTACCAGTTAGCACTTAAAGGGCTTTAAAAAGTTCAGAAACAATTTTACCAAAACACGTTTCAGTCATTTAAAATCACTTCCAAACGAATCCTTATTTTTACTTAGAGCATCGGTATTTTGCAAGTTCGTTATTATAGATAGTTCTTTGAAATGATCTTATTAACGACATATACAAGAATTGAATTCTCCGATATAAGTGCTACATAGTTGGCTCTCATTCTTCACAAACCATAAGTGTATAGAAGCATCTGTCAACGAAATGGGAAAAAGATCCTCTCCGGATTCACTTTGTAGGGATCCTCACATCCTAGCCGTTCATCATACATCATGCGCCTAATTTTCATCAGATACTATTTGTGTTTATTTTTAAATAAAAAAAGTGAAATGATTTTTTACCACACGATACACGATAAATGGCTAAGATGTGGGAATCCCTAGGATCCCCACCAAGCGGATCCGGATGGGATCAAATTCCACGAAATGATCACCCTAAGGGCGTACGTGTTTACTAACCCAAAATCGGAATGAAAATAAAGAGTTCAATTCCGATTACAAATTATACTTGTGTTTACTAAAATTGGGAGGAATCAATAGTGCGTGGGACTCACACAAAAAGTAGAAGTCAATTCCTGAAATTGGAGGAATTGGACTCCCTCCATCGATGTGGTAATTGAATTCTAGGAAGGTGAGGGAATTGGGAATCCATTTGCTCTTTCTATTATGCCCTCTTATCAACTTGCCGTTTAACCGAACAAATTAATCTCGTGAGCTTGAATTTCGGTTGGGTGAGGGTTAAAAATCCAATAGATTCAGGAGATCTGCGGTTCGCATATGAGATCTCATCCCCGAACACCAAATCACTGTCGTTCATGAGGCAATGGTCCAGTCGCTTCGATACCGCGGAATGCACGCGTGGACGTAGCTCCGGACGATGACGTCAACATCAGTATCTCACGGACGTGCTTATCGCTCACCGGCTCATCCTCCTGCGACATCACTTTGACAATCGCGATCTTGAGGTCTAGGGCCAAATTGCTCATGTTTCTAGGTTTTTTCTTCTGCAGGGAGGGAAGATGAATGCGGCTGGATTCTTTCTTTGGCCTTTACACAATAGTGGACATTTAATTCTTTAATTTAACTAAATAAGTAAAAATAAATAGTTAAAATGTTTTTAAAAATAAATAGAATAAAATAAAAGAAAATAGGGTATTTTAGTAATCATATTAATTCTGATTCTGATTTAGCTGAATTAGTAAATAACTTTTACGAACTCAATTTCATTTTTATTTCGATTCCTGAACATTTAAGTAAACAGCTTCAACAGAAATCTGATTCCGATTCCTCTTCATTTCAATTTATCCTCAATTCAATTCCTCCACAATCCAATTCCTCCAATTTTGATTACGGTTACGTAAACGAGTCATTAATCAGATTTTGGGTCCTATTAATTGGGTATGGGCTTGAAGCCCTGGATGACCCAATACTGAAGTGTTGGGTAGTACAACTGGACCTGAAAGCCCAAAGTCAGCAATTTTCTTCCTCCATTGTTTTTTTAACCAAACTCAAGATTTTATAAAATTTTGAGTTGAAAATTAGTTAAAATACGCCATTACGGATTTTATATAATTTAATTTTTATCTTTTAATTTTAAGAAAAACCAATGAAAAGACTTTGAAAATTTTGAGTTTTAATGATAATGACAAAATAAAGGGTAAAGTGAATAGTACCATGGTTGATTTTTTAGTGTAAAAATATAGCTTTTCGTTAAAATGAGCAATATCGTGGGTTTTTCGTTAAAACTCTGTTAATTTTATTCCTCTTCTTCCCAAAAAGTAAATACCTAAAAAAATCAAAATTTCTGAGTTTCCCAAAAAAACAAAAAAAAATGCTGCTGATCACAAAAAATTGACTGATAAACAAGCTCGGGTACCATTTCTTGGAAAAAGGGGGAGAAAAAATGGAGGGAGCCAGGGTTCTGAGATTGTGAGTGGGAATTTGACGCAGATCCGCTCTTGAATACTCCGATGACACAAATTGGGAGCTGGGTTTGAATGAATCGAATTTGAAATTCCCAAATTCCAGAAAGTAAAGGTCGGAATTTCAGCGGTTATTCTCCATAAAGACCGAATCTGTTCTTGGAAGCTTTGAATCTTTGAATCTTGGGTATGAAAATTTGCGAGGATCAGAACAAAGGGTTGTGATTTTTCGGTGTTTCGATTTGTACGAACAGCTGGTGGTTGGTGGGTAACCGCCATTTGAGCTCAATTCTGTGAATTTGCAAGGTATCTGAAATCTGAAATCCCCAAGAACCCTAATTTCAGCGATGCGCTGAATCTCTGAGGATAATTTGTAGAAATAACTTGTATTTGATTTGTGTAGACACAATAAAAATATGCATGCCCGGAATCGGAATCCCGGAAATGGGTACAGGTCCAATTCCATGGGCATGGGGATGGGCATGGCTCCCAACTCTCGGATCTCTCCGGAGGGTTCTATGAGGGGGCATGGCTTTTACAGCACCGAACACCGCAATTTCAATCGGGGTTTTGGCCGCCCGAAGTCTTTCCAACCGCCTCCAGCTCCACCACCGCCTCCACCTCCTCCACCCCGGAAAGGCGATATCTTTACGGAGGCGGGGCGCCTTGCGGCGGAGTATTTGGTAGCTCAGGGCCTGCTGCCTCCAAATGTGCTGTCTGCCAAATGGCAGAACTCCAAGAAGCAAGTGGGGGAGTTTCAGGAAGCTGAACAGTTGCAAATTGCAGCAGAGGGCCGAACTTCAGCTCTTGCCCGGTTGGGGAATTCGGTTTCGGATGGAGGTTCTAGAAGGGGAAGGTTTGGTGTTGATGATTCAGCAACAATGCAAGGAATCAGTTCAAGGGAAGGAGGAGAAATGCGGCTGGATCGAATAGGGGCGCTTATGGTTCCGACTGGGGCCAAGAGTATGGGAGGGGTGGTTCGTTCACTGATAGGCACAGTAGGGCTTCCTCTGATATGGAGGGGGATGAAGGTTCTGTATCTGGACAGCATGAGGAGCAGAAGCTCAGTAAAGATGGTTGTAATAATGGGTTGCAACAGAACTCCAGTCCAAGTGATTGGGGACCGAAGAGCGAGGATGCAGTGGATTCAGAATCTAAATTAGACAAGAGTCAAAACCACGATGAGGATATGAGCTCAAAGCCAAGTTCTTCTGGTGCTTGGAAAGATGGTCCAATTGAAACCGATGAAGTTGGTGAGGAACCCTCCAAGGTATCTGATATAGAGATGAAGGATCAAGATTCTGCCACCAGTTATGAAACCGAGAAACATAACGTATCGGAGAACTTACCGATTCAGCTTAGGGTTCCGGAGGCTGAGGTTGAGGGTGATTCCTCAGGAAAGAATGGTACTGATTTGCTGACACTCTCCAAATTTGCCAAGGTGCCCACCAGAATCCGCTCGTCGTTGACTTCTAGGGGTCCAAAGGTTGATCCAGTTACAAATATCCAGGTGGGGAGCACCTCCGACGTTGCTGTCCAACCAGAAGAGTTTCAAGTTTTAGTTGAAAGCGGTTCTCTTGATATTTCCACAGGTGCCACTCTTTCGGATAAAACTCCTCATGAGAATGATCTCAACCCCGAATCTTCTAAACCTCAGTCCAGTCAGTCGGCTGAAATTTTAGTAGAATTAGATCCTGAATATGGTATGGAGCAAAACAAACATGGAAGATCCCAGTCTTTGCCAGGTAGAGCTTTTGTTCGTGAAGACGAGCAAGACTCAAGTCAGGGACCAGTAGGGTTTAGGAGTTCCAGCTTTGTAGTTAAAGAAAGAGTTGAGAAAAGGGCTTTAGAAGTACACGATAACCTGGGAGGAGCTAAAAAACCGAGACAATGGCTTCCTTACATGGTTGCAGACACAGATGAGTGTTTCCAACGTCCTAAATTGGGTGAAAAGAAAGAAAGTTCACAGGAAGAAAACACTTCTGCTGATGAGCAGGTAATTATAGCTAATGATCATGAGAGCTCGGTAATGAATGATTCCCTTTTCCAAAAAAATGGAAGTGAAGCCTGTATGGAGTATGTGCAAGAAAAGCAGCTTTTTCCAAATTCATTCAAGATCTGCGACCTTAATCTCATGGATGCACATGAGAATCGTGATAGTGATCATGCAATAGATTATCCAACTGTTTCTGGAATAAAGAAAGAAGCAGAAACTGTTGATATTGATTTGTCAATGAGTAATTCCAACTTGTCTGGTGAAAACAGTAGACAAACCATCGATGTTAAAGAGATTGAGATCATAGATTTAGAAAATGACTCCATCCAAGAAGATAAGACCTTCAACAATACCGAAAGAAAGTAAGTTTTTCCTAGCTGCATTCCGGTTCATGATTATTGATTTAGTTCTCCCTTCAGTTAAGTTTTTTCTGGGGGTGTCAAGTAAAGCTGGTAGTAGTTTGTACTTTTATATTTCTTTCTTAGTTTCTTTTACATGTATTTATGTTTGTGTTTTCATGTTGTTCAATATACAGGACAGATGCTGAATTTACTCCTCTAGATGGCTTTACCAACCATGCGCAGAATCCTAACGATATCCCTGATGTTCAAGATGGTTATGGGCTTATGATTTCAGAGTTGCTGGGAACTGATTTCCCAAGTTGTTCAACGGTACCAGGGGATCTTAATCCAGTGCATAATGAAATTGACCTTCATAACGGACAGGTACTAACATCTGTTGCTAGATTAAGTTGTTAGTTTTGCAGATATGAAAGTTATTAATGAATCCATTGTCCTGGTGGTTATTTGGTCTCAAAAACATATAAATGGATTACTTGAACTTATACAACTGCACATGTGCTTCTACTGCATAATTGCCCATGTGATCTTTTGTCCTTGGCTGCTTAATGGAAAAGCACCGCTAAGTAATTTAGCATACAGTATACAACTGATATTTCTGTTATTTTACTTATTGTTTCAGCCAGCTCTTGCTGACGATGATTCGATATACATGGCGCTGGGAGAAATACCATTAAGTATGCCACCTTTTTAATCACTGGTTTGTTTTCTAATGAATCTCAAATACCTGTCAAGTTCTGCTGGGATGGTGTTGGATTTTTATCATGTGTGTTAGAACAGAACATGTATAAGGTTATGTGCTTTTAATTGTTACATGCCTTGTACCAACTACATACAAGTTGGGACACAAATATCCCGATATTTAATCAATTCTGACAGCATTTGGTCTCTTGAATCTTACAACGAGTCGAATAAGTAGTTTCTTTTTACACTTTTAAAACTGTTTCAGGTACGGCGATGGTGGGTGAAAGTCTTGACGGAGATTTTTCCTTTCCCTTCAACTGCTTATTCGTTTGAATGTGTTGCATGCACACTTGAGAAAGGAATTGTAAATTGATGATACTTGATGTAAGAACATGTTTCTCTCCAAGAAAAAACTGAATTAAAAAGCAAAAGGCTAGGGTGAGTTTTATTCTTTGCTTGAGGTAACTAATAGTCAGTAACATACGTTTGCTTTCATAGTCTTGTCTTCCACTTTGCAACATTCTGGAAGAGAACGGAGTCTGATTGATTAGTCCAGGAAACTTCTTTAACTGTATTGTTATGAGTGTCGTGACAACAACGCGCCAGCAGTTTTTTATTTTATAGGTCAAAACTTTGTTCCTCTTTTAAAAATGGTTCTCGCCATTCGTTAATTTTCATATCTAATACTTCTAAAATTACCTGTGCAGCCTTTTTGAGGCCCTGGGAGCAGCCAACCCCACAGGAGTATGAGAAGCCCTTTTGATCCAGCCATTCATAATATTGCTGGGATGTACAATTCGGTAATGCTTAGATCATTGGGGGTTCTTTTGTCCCATTTGCTTCATTTAAGTGGCAATCTTTGCTTTGATTGATTTTTATTTTTTCAGTTTGTTAAGGGTGCAAGTCTGTTCCTCTGGTAGGAAGTTTAAGGATGTTAAATACTTTTAATTTGCTGTTACACCTTGTTTTTAACATGAAAATTTTAATCGTGTTGATTCGCATTTGGCGGTAATGGTTGAAGACGCCATTTGTTATTCGCCATTGACTTGACGTATAGACTGTTACACCTTGTTCTTAGATGGAAAATGTTAATAATGTCGATCGACAGAAATGGTAGAAGAACTCATTCGCAACTTTCCTTGCTCGTTAAACATCTATCGACGCTATATGTATTAGATATTAATGCGCAGTAATAACGTATGAAATATTGAAGATCGATGATCTATGCTTGTGATGATATATCGTATCGGTGTTTGATAAACGTTTAGAAGATGCCTATCCTATGATTATGAACATATTGTAGCATGGAATTTTGACCCTTTTTTGTTTAACTGTTTGCATAACATTTTTGCTTGTGGTACCAGTAAGGAAAGTGTTGCCTTAACACTTTCATTTCCTCTGGTTGTTCCAAGAACCCAAATCTCATTGAAAAATATGCAGAAATCGAACCAAAATTGGGGGAACCAATCGGACAATAAGCTGTATATGAATCACGGTTTAATGAATCTTTGTTTTCTAGCCTGTTTCGTGTCCGTTTAGCTATTTTTGTATCAAAAGTCTGTCCATCGAATTCATTTTGTTTTTCAGAGAAATTACAGACCTCAAACCTGTTCAACCGAACATGCTGTGTCACGTCCTTGAGTGGACAGATTCCCACTTCTTCATTGGAGAAACGGTTCTCTGTGTCATCTTGATATGGAATATATGTATTTCAATTTGAGATTTTTACTTCTAATAGAATATTATGTCACGTCAAAGAAACTTACGTGCAACTAGACGAAAGATTAACAATATTCCAATTGTCATGCACCAGTAAGTGTCACTTGCCTAAATGGCATCGCCTGACGGACTTTGGATGCCACCATTTTGACGTCCTCGATGCAGGTAAGTTTTTGTCGGATTGGACCTTAAATGTAAAAAGGGATCTATTTCCTTGGCATTATTTGTAATACTTGATACTATTAGAATGCGAGCTTCCATATTGTTTAGTCATCGTATTTGGTGTTTGATACTTGAAGAAGGAGATTGGTCCCTTCTTCCAGCAACGTGCATGGCATTGGCTTTTGCATTGCACTTTCCAATAAGCTTAGGAAAATGTAGAAAGTATCTCTCATAATTTGTTTGCTGCACGTGGTTGGCTGCTATGTTCCAGATTATTTAACCCAAAAATGAAAGAGAACTTTAACGAAAAACTTCCGGTGCTGTTCACTTTAACGAAAAACTACATTTTTACACTAAAAAGTCAATCCTGGTACTATTCATTTTATCTTTTATTTTGTCCTTATTGTTAAAACTCAAAGTTTTCAAACCATTTTAATTAGTTTTACTAAAATTAAATACCAAAATTAAACTTTGGCACTCTATTCATTTGTATTTACTATTTATAGCTAAGGAGTCATTTTTCTTTATAAAAGAAAAGTTTATGTATATGTTTTCGATTGTAATTTGTTTGTAACAATAAATAAGTTATCGTATGCAAGTAGTTAGGTGTTTTCTTGCACTCAATTCAAAGAACCTGAAATAAAATTGGCAAAACTAAGAAGCATTCGATAAGCTTTTACCTCTTACATTATGTTTAGTTTAGAGAAATAAACTTGAAATTTGAGCAAAAGCGAGAAAATTAACATGCACCAATTTTCTTGTTTCGATTCATAAATATAGAATTTTATAATTTCCGCAAGGAAAAAAAAAACTGTAAATAGGGGTCGTTTTCAAATTTCAATGAGTGAGCATTTAAAAAAAACACAAAAAAACTCAATCACGAGTGGCCACCACGACCTACCATTACCCACTATCATCGTCACCAACACGACTGCCACTACCACTACATGTCGTTGTGGCCCCTGCTGCTGCCATTGCCACCACCCACCATCATCGCAACAATTATTGTCACCACCCCACCTTCATCACCGTCGTCACCCGCCACCACTACTAGCACATTTCATAACCACTATCTTTTATTTATATATTAATAACTGAACATTAAATTTCGTATTCAAAGTTCATTGTTTTTTAGGTTAATCAAATAAGAAAATTCACAAATTCTAGAAAATAAAATTCATTATTTCTATTTTTGTCATTTTGAAATTCTTCAGCAATTTTAAATTTCTTCATCCAAACACAATGTTAATCTCACTGAAGTGATAAGAAAAGTATGCGACAATAATTTGATATTGCGTAAGTATATTTTTAGAATCATTATTTCTTTCTTGGATTGGTAATTACCATGTGGGAAGTTGACACGAGTAAAGAAAACCATGCTGTGAGACATCATCCTAAGCGAAGTAAAATTCAAAAATAAAAAAATAAAAAAATAAAAAAACACACGAAAAATTCTACAACGATTAACCGCCAATAGCATGAACCAAGTGAATGAATGGCTGATTATACAGTCAAATATGACTAAGATTCACGACATATACTATACTGGGATCCATGCTAGAAAAAAAAAAAAGACCCAAAAACAAGTTATGGTGCTGTGAAGTTGTGAACAGCTATCATGTTTAAGGACATGAACTGTCTGTAGCAGTACTTCGGTCGCACAACTAGGAACCCTAAAAAGGAAAAATGTTCCTCACAGCTGCAGATGACATCTATCTTTATATCTTGGCATACAGCGGCTGTACAAGAGTTTTGGTAAAATCCTCACGGTCACAGTAATTATATTTTATCGACTAATTTAGCACGAAAAGGACTCAGAAGCTTTTTAAACAAGCTAGTTTTAGAAAGTTTTTTCATTTAATACAAACAATGTCGTTAAACTGGAGGGTTAAACTTTAAGACCAAACATAAATATTCTTAACCACTTGAATTGTAATTTTTTTCCATCTAACGTTCGAACGTTGTCTATAAATATTAGCCACTTTTACCAACCTTGAATGTTTTAAACATATAAAATGCAGCAAAATTTGATTTGTTCTACCATCAATTTCATAGAGGGCACAAAAAATATTTAGCAAAACCTATCAAGTTTCCCCTTTATACCCATCCAAATGTCTTCCTCTTGAAGGATTTTGCTTTATATATACTAACCTTCTCGACAAATTTGTCGAGCTGCTAAAAAAATCGATCTATAGACTCTTTCACCAATTTAAATGATTATAAAGGGGACTGATCATTTAAATGTGACTTCATTGTTTTGTGCCTCTTAAAGTAGCACACATAGAAGTTGTGCATGAAACATAGATAACATAGATATTTTAGTAGGTTTGTCATAGCATTGAGTTTATAAATTTTGAATCAAAATATTCCCGTAGCATGGAGATAAAGGAGATAGTGGTATAGGTTTTCTTTTTCTGATGCGGGATATATTGTTGACATGCAATGTGAGCTTCATATGCATCAACCGTCTTGATCAATCTACGTCAAATCCGTCTTGATCAATCTACATATGCACATTTGACTAGCGTTTTTTTTGTACAACTGATGCACATTTGACTAGCATTTTTTTGTACAATTGATGCGTTGAATTTGATATGCATCAACGATTATGATGGTCACGATTAGCCTACACGTGCACTCCCGCATGAACTATTATTAACCTTTGATAGTTTGACGTGTTGTGAGTCTCATATGCATCAATGGTCACAATCAACATGAGCACACGTGCACAAATTCTAGCACTGCTCTGATGAGGCAAAACCTCTTCCTACCTTCCTCATCCGTTCATAATGACTAGTGATCTTTACTTTTTTTATACTTATTGTACCTTATCAATATACTCACAACAATATCTTTTCATGATAGCAATGCTGAAGTGGATTTGACATTGTTGCAACAAAAAGATCATTTACCTTTCTTATGGCATCTTATAATCTTAATCCATGTAAGTTCTAGCAGCAGACAGAAAAGTATAGCCTTGAATTATCGTTATAATAAATAAAGTTCGTAAACGAAAATAGAAATGTAAACTAATCCAAATGATATTATTTTGTGTACAAAAACTGTATATTTGTGGACTGAAAGAAAAAAATAAAATAAAATGGGTTCCACACATGCAGTTCCGACACCAAAAAACTCCCAATACAGGTTCTGGTTCTCGATGTATGTTTCTGAAAACAATTCGAGCTCATGAGCCAATTCAGAAATTACCTTTAATTCGTCCGACATGTATGTCTCAGCCACGTTAATATATATATATATATATATATATAGAGAGAGAGAGAGAGAGAGAGAGAGAGAGAGAGAGAGAGAGAGAGAGGAGTAGAAGACGTTTGGATAGAAACCGTGGGTGTTTTTGGAAAGAATGAGAATTTAAGTTTAAAGATGCGATGTAGATAGAAAAGCGAGTTACCCGTATTGGGGTTAAATTTAGAATTGTTGATTGATATTAAAAGAGCCAAAATGCAAAGCATTACATCGACAACGATGAGACATAAAAGGCATTGAGTAAATGAGTTAGAACTTGAAAGCAATTTACCAAAGGATAATTCCTAGAAGCATTAAGGAAGGAAAGAATAAATGAACGAGAAGTAGACACATATCTAAAGCAAATAAGAATATAGCCTCACTTATATTAAGAATCTAGACAAGGAGGTACACCCAAGGAGAAGAAGTGGGCATATAATGACCCGGTACACTCAAGGAATCAAGGAGGAAATATATTCAAAACGTAAGATACTTGGACGCGCCGCGGAAAGAAGGAAGGAACTAGGTGTGTCTAAAGCAAAGGATCAACAAGGAAGAGCAAAATTCAAAATGTAAAAAATAAAAAAATTAGTGACATAAATAATAAAATTTCTCATCACTTATATAATAACACGTGATGTACCACTTGTGTTATGAGCACAAGGAAAATTTTCTCCTAGATTTGAGCTTCACTGCTAGTTTGAGCCCGTGTCATCGCTATTTCAATTTTATTTTTCATTTCTATTTGTTTCATGTCTCTCTTAACTTATTGTACTTATTTTTTTTATCAATATATTCACAACGATGCCTTTTTATGATATAAATGCCAAAGTGGGATTGACATTGTTGTTTGATTAAAAAAAGTTATTTACCTTATTCTGGCATCTTGTACTCTTAATCCATGTAAATTTTACCAATAGATAGAAAAATATTGCCTTGAATTGTCAACAGGCCGCAAAAGAAAGGAATTTCCCACTAATCCAAATGATGTATCTTTAAATAAAATAAAGTTCGTAAATGAAAATAAAAAGCATGATTTCTTGTTCAAGGTTATTTGAGGAAAAGGAGCTAAAGTGCAAAGCATTACGTGACATCAACGAGACATGAGGGCCAATATGTATAGTAAAGGCGATGAGAAAAAGAAGTTAGAATTTGAAAGCAATTTAGCAAAAGATAAAATTTCTGAAAGTATTAAAGAAGAAAAGAACAAGTAAACGAGAAAGTAGACACATATCTAAACCAAAGAAGAATATATCAATTATATTAAGAATCAAATATATCCTTGGAAGCATTACCAAACAAATATTTCCTTGCAAGCACCACGGTAGGAAGGAAATAGAAGTGTCTAAAGCAAAGGATCGAATGTATCCTTCAATTAAATTCAAAACGTACGTAAGATAGTTAGCGCACTAAGGAAGGAAGGAACTAGTCGTGTCTAAAGGAAAGGATCAAATATATCCTTCAATGATTGAATACACCACCTTTTCACGTTATAAAAAGTTAGACCTACCGACGTCTCTTGTCTATCATATCATCCTCCATTGCACTTGCATTGCATCCAAGACAGAAATTAAACACTGTGATTAGCTGAGTTGCAGGAAATTGAAGGAATGGCGGCTGAAGCTGTGCTTACTTTTGCTACCGAGGGAATACTGAAGAAGGTGCTTTCACTTGCTGCTCAACAATTCAGTCTTGCATGGGGTTTCAAAGCTGAGCTCGGAAAGCTTCAAGAGTCATTCACAAACATTGAACTTTTGTTGAATGATGTTGCCGACAAACCACAAGGTAGTATATATTTTTGAATTGTCTTGTAATCTCTCACACACATGCTACAATTACAAGGTATTTAACTTCTTTTCATTCTCTAACAGGTGGGCCAATAGAGGCATGGGTGAAGAAACTCAAAGACGTAGCTCATGATGCTGAGGATGTCTTGGATGAACTCGAGTACGAAGGTTATCGGCGTAAAGTCGAAATCCAAAACCATATGAAGAAAAAGGTTCTTAACTTCTTTTCAGTCTCCAATCCACTTGTATTTCGTCTTCAAATGGCGCATAAAATTCAGAACATCAATGCATCCTTGGTGGATCTCGAGAGGAAAGCTTCTCTTATTGGACTAGCTTCCAAGAATAAAGTTGCAACCACTCAGGGGATTAGATGGGACAGACAAACCAACGCATTCATTGGCAAAGACGAAATAACTGTTGGAAGGAAAGATGATGTGTCAAAAATAGTCACAACCTTGACCAACTCCAAATACGATCAAGAAAATCTTGCGGTTATGGCCATCGTGGGAATGGGAGGCCTCGGAAAAACAACATTGGCCAAGGAAGTTTACAATGAGGATTCGATACACAAGTTTTTTGAAAAAAAGATTTGGATTTGTGTATCCGACACTTTTGACGTCAATTTCATCCTACAGCAAATGTTAGAACAATTCTGCTTTTGTCTCTTAACGAAGAGTTGAAAGATAAAAAATACTTACTCGTACTTGATGACGTTTGGAACGAAGATTCCAAATTATGGGAGAGTTTCATGGAATGTTTGTCAAAGCTTAGTTCTGCTAAAGGATCCAAAATTATGGTCACCACTCGCAAAGAGAAAGTTGCATTAACCTCAGAAAGGCTACTTCCACGACATGTATTGGGAAAACTTTCAGGGGATGAATGTTGGTCCATCATGAAAAATAGAGCTTTCACCAATGGCAGTGATCCTGAGTTTGATACAATTGGAAGGGAGATTGCTGAAAATTGCGGTGGTGTTCCGTTGGTGGCAAAGGTGCGTACTATTATTATGTATCATAACATGAAATCTGCACCTTTTTTATATTTATTTGTTTACACTGTTTTCATTTATAAATCAGGAAATTTGGGTATTAGGGTTTAAACAAGATGATTTTTAAATTATAGCATGAATGGTTTTATAATTCTGAATTAGATCCTTCTTTTAAAACCACTTTGACACATCATCTACAATGATATCCATACGTTTTGCTATTATTTACAAGCTTGCCATTTTTTCTTACCTATTGCCAGTCATGCAAGATAATTGTATCCCATACAGGGCAATTTTAATTATTACGTTAATGCTAAGTCAGTTCTCAAATAGAAAAGAAATTTAACTATTTACGAAACTTTAGGTCCATTAATTTAGGTGCAACTATTTTGATTAGGTACCTTAGTCATTAGTTTCATTTGTATCAAACGAAAAAAAGGTATGATATTTTATGTCCGTTGACTTAAGTGCAAATATTTTGTTCGATACATCATATTTTTATGATTGAAAATATATGATTACATGTGACCTAATAATAAAAAATAAAAAAAATTACAAAATTGATTAATTAGAAAATTTATGGAAGGCATATATGGTTGGTCCTCAAATGTGTTAGTTCAATTCAAACGAGGTAAGAAAATAAGCCAAAATGGCTCCTAAAAAATGCACAACACAATAGAAACAGTTCCCTTAATTACACAAGGGTATTATAGTAAAAAACAAATAGTTAATCTAGAAGGAAAAAATAATAAATATGATGTGGAATATAACTGTTGACCTAAATACTAAGTCAATAAACTATTTTCAAATGTATAATCTTACACCAGACATTTGTCTAAAAGTGAAATTATGTAAGGATTAAAGTTAGATTTTCTCTTTATAAATTAGGACAATATTTGCCTCCACCCCATTGGGTGCACCACCTTATAAATTAGGACAAGGTCTTGTGAAAAACGTATTTTGACTGTATAAATTTCAGAATCAAAACCATTCATGTTTGTAATCATCATTGGAATATCATCATTACAAAAGGGGTTATTTAGAGATAGGTCATTGCAACTCTTATTTTCTATACAAAAAACCATCTAGTGTTAAACATCCAAATAAAACTGAAATTTGAAAGTATGTCATATATGCAAATAAATAACCTGTTATTATAATTTATAAATATTTGCAACATATGCCACAAAGATATTATTACTCACCCTTTTTTTTTTTTTTTCATAAATGTTATTCCTCAACCTAAATGTGTCTTCCACATATACCAAAAAAATAATATTTTCTATAAATAATATATATATAGGTAGATTAATTTATATAAAAATAATATATAGAGCTATATTAATCTATCTTGTTTAAATTTCAAGGGATAGGTAAATTTACTAAATTATTTGTATTGCAATATATATAGCCATAATGTGCTAGATGAAAAATAATTTACTATAAAATTTTGGGTACATTATATAGCTATAATGTGATAAATAAATTATTTTTACAATTAATACTCTTATTCTAAGTAGGTACACTAACATATAGATAGGTACATCAAATTCTATGAAAAAAAAAATTAGATACATTATTTTGTCTATGTTTCATACCAAAAACAACATAATATATCTATCTATTTATATTTTAGCTAGGTAAAATAGCATGCTAATAGGTAAATTACTTTTACCGTAAAAACAATTTTGAACCCTAAAACGAAATTGTGGTGGTCGTTGATAAAAAGAAAAACATTTTTGAGAAAAAAATCCTGATCAAATAATAAATTATAACATTAATGCCTTTTTTTGGGGGGGGGGGGGTGTTGTGGAAAATCATTAATCTCCCCCCCCCCCCAATTTTCAATTTGCATAAGATTAATTGTATATGTCAAAATGTAATTAGAGGTATTTTAGGCGTTAAAAAAATATGTGAAGTTAAATATAATTAATGAATTTACTTATGTACAACCTATTTTTTACATTATTTTAGGACACCTTTGAACTCACTAATCCAATTAATAGGTTTTGGGAGGCATTTTGCACACTAAAAAAAGTGTTGAAGAATGGTCATCGTTTAAAAACAGTAAAATATGGGACAACCTATTAAAAGAAGAAGATAGAATTATGCCAGTCCTGAGGTTGAGTTTTGACAATTTAGAATCACCATCATTGAAGCAATGTTTTGCATATTGCTCAATGTTTGAGAAAGATGTTGAAATTCAAAGAGACAACCTGATTCAACTTTGGATGGCTCAAGGACTATTCCGCGCTTCGCATGACGAAAGTAAAGATATGGAGGACATAGGCAATGAATATTTTGATATTCTATTGCAAAGCTCCTTATTTCAAGATGCTACGATGAGTGACGATGGCATTGTTAGCAAATGCAAGATGCATGATCTTGTGCATGATCTTGCAGAACATGTATCCAAATCCAAAAGCTTGACGAGAGATTTAGGTGGCATAGATAATACATTAGAGATTCGACATGCTGCTCGGGTTTCTACTTTTGATTTGGGACAAATTCCAAAAAGAAGTGCTGGGAAATTGCGGTCACTGTTTTTCGACTACGATGAAGTTCCTATTAACATTCTTCCACGATTCAAAGCTTTACGCTTCTTAGATTTAAGGAATGCTTATATTGAAGAATTTCCAGTTTCAGTCGGTAGGCTGAAACACTTAAGGTATCTTGACATTTCCAATAAAACCTTCAAAGCACTCCCCAAATCTATAGGCAAGCTCTATAACCTTCAGACATTAAGAGCAACAAATTGTGCCTTTAAGGAGTATCCAAAAGAACTGCAAAACTTGATCAACCTGAGACATATTTATTTTGATGAGGATATCAAATTCCCAAAGGGGATAAGCCGGTTGAATTGCCTTCGAACATTACCTTACTTTTCGGTGGGTAATGAGATTGGTCATCAGATTGAAGAGTTGGCTGGCTTGAAACAATTGAAGGGTCAATTAATTGTTCGTAATCTGGAGCATGTAAAGAATGGAGAAGAAGCAAAGAAAGCTAAATTAGAGGATAAGACGAAAGTATGTCATTTGGAATTCAAATGGACAGCAGATAGGTTAACAACTGATAACAATGAGGAGGAGGATGTCCTAGAAGGCCTCCGACCATATCTTGAGTTGAAGAGCTTAAGTATTGAAAACTTCATGGGCGTTAAGTTTCCATCGTGGATGATGAGTGGGTCATTACCGCTCAACAACTTGAAGAAGATTCAATTACTTGGATGCTGCAAATGTGAAGTAGTCCCACCGCTCGGTCATCTACCCAATCTTACAGAGCTTGAGATTAGAGGAATGGCTAACTTAAAATGTATTGGAGCAGAGTTCTACGGTTATGGTCTTGTCTACAATGTAGCCACAACAAGTAAGGAAACAATTACTTTATTTCCAGCGTTAAAAGTATTACATATTTTTGATTGTGGTGATCTAATTGAATGGAAAGAAGCACCGCTAAGTAATTTGCCAAATAGGCCAGACACTCTCCCTCTCCTTGAGGAACTGACTATTGAGAGATGTCCTAGTCTAGAGTTGATCCCAATTACACAGGGCATGGCATCTCTACGAGAATTAAAAATTGAATATTGTGGACGATTGTCACGCCTACCAAGTGGGTTAAAGAGCTGCACCTCTCTCCAGAAATTGAATATACATAATTGTCATGGATTATCAGGCTCATTCCCATGTTTGTGGGCCTCTATCCTGAAATTGAGTATACAGAGTTGCAATGGATTATCAGGCCCATTGAGTGTATGGGCTTCTCTCTTGGAATTGAGTATTGGGAGCTGCAATAATCTGACATCAATTGAAAGGCAGCGTGTCCCTCACTGCCTCTCTTCAGAAATTGACAATCTGGAATTGCAGTGAATTAGCAAGCTTACCTGCTCTTCCACAACAGTGTCCCTCTCTTTAGGAATTGGACATATGGGAATGCCCAAAGCTATCATGGTTTGGTGTCAAAAGTGGGAGAGTTGAGGAGGAGGATTGCAATAGTCTTGGACAACTGTGGATATGGAGTTGCCCAAAGATAGCGTCCTTTTGTGCCCAAAGTAGCAGAATTGACGAGGAGGAGTGCATTAGTCTACAATCTACTTCAGACTTGCGCACCATGACCTCCCTTCGAGATCTGAGGATTTACAATTGTGAAAGATTAGAAAGTTGGGTGAGCAGCCTACAATTCCCACTCTCTCTTGAGGATCTGTCAATACGTGGTATGCCTAATTTACACATTCTTCCAAGTTTAGACCACCTCCATTCTCTCCGTCATTTGAGGATCGGTGGGTTCTGGGAGGAGCTCGATTCCTTCCCTGATTTTGAAGTTGGATCATTAATGCATCTTACAAGCTTAAGGTTGTATGGTTGGCCTAAGCTCAAGTCTCTGCCTCAACAAATTCAACACCTCACTTCTCTAACAGAATTGTGGATATCTTCATTTGAGGGAGTGGAGACTTTGCCAGAATGGTTGGGTAGCCTTACATCCCTTACATGGCTGCAGATTCGAGATTGCAAGAATCTGATGAATTTACCAAGTGTCCAAGCTATGCAACGCCTCACCAAATTAGAAACCTTGCGGATTTTTAATTGTCATCCCCTTTTAGAGGAAAGATGCAGCAGGGACAGCGGCACAGATTGGCCTAAGATTTCTCACATTCCACATATCAGAAGTAAGTTTTAAATTATTGAAATCAAATTACAGAGCTAACGTTTCTTATTTTATTCCGTGTCTCCAATAGTACTACACTCAAATTTAAACTAGTATAACATAATTTGTTTATCCTTCTCCCTCTTCTTTTAATGATCAGTATACTTGGATTGAAACTACGCAACTGGAACGATGTAGTGCAGTAGGTGCAAGCAGAGTCCAGGTACTGAAGCACAAGATATGTTTTTTTACAGAAATGTGGTGTTTGTTGCTTTAGATATTATTTCATCCTTTCATCCCTTGCATGCTAATGACTTTTTATCCCGATCACAATGGCAGTGGTAGATTTACCACATTTGTTGCTTCCATCTCTTGCAGGTTGCTTATTCCATTGGCTCCTGCACAATGAGGAAATTTGTTTATATTATCCCGAGACTTGTTTTCAGGTTAACGATGTTAATATAATACATAGAACTCCTGTAATTGCTTTCTTGTGAAGATTTTAGACTCATAGTTTCGGGGCTACTTGTAATATGCGCAGTGATTTGAATACTATTGATTTTGCGTCAGTAATTGATATCACTCGAGTAACTTGATGAACTGTTGAGTACCTGTATTATTGCTGAAATTATTGAGAGAGAGATTATCATGAGAGTAGCCATGTGAAATGTTCATTTTGCAGCAAGTTAACTTGACCTTGATATCACTCATGAGAGTCTTCGAGGGCTTGTTCATTTATGGAACTCACTATGACTCAGCGGTGGCAGGGTATTCTGTTGAGGATGTAAAATTCTATGGGATAGGAAACGAAAATGCTAGAGGAGAGGTATTCCTGCTGCCAAAATTGCAACTTAAACAGTACGCAAGCTTTTCTGCTATGGTCATGTCAGGCTATCTGTTTACTAATACTATACATAATTAGTTTGAAAGTTAAAACTCATAGTGATTTCTTTCTTGCAGCTTTTTACTTGCTGTTGGCACTAAGTTGGGGCATGTAATTTCTCAAATGTCTTGCGAGGTTGCAGAGAAATATATGATGCCAACAAATTTGAGGGGACTTAATTGTTCATCCTTCAGCGGATTACCTTTGGTTCTACAGGCCCAGACTTGTTCTCTCTGTGATTTTAATATACTGTGTTCTGTAATTCTTCTCAACTGGCATTTTCTTCTTTAGCTTCAATTGACAATCGAGAATTCCAAATTCCGAGGTACCAGAGGAATTGTAGAGTTTCTCGGTTAATGGCGTGGGAGTACTTATTGTGAATCTAAGTTGTTGAACCATGACTGGAATGTTTCTTCAAGATGTGAGAAAGATTGAAATTTGTTGTTTATATTTTTCTTTAAGTTGTTTTGGTGTTATCTTTGTACTGGGATATTGGGATTCCGATCAAAGCTCATGGGTGGATCAATATCATCCTTCAACTTCAATCATGTTTCCCTAATGGTCCTGAGAGATACCCAGTAGTTTTCCACTCGGAAGACTCGTATCGTTCCTGATGTACGGGGAGTTTGGGAGTTAATTATGGTAGTCTTCTATCCACAGGTTGAGACACAGTGTTGCTTGCTTTTTTGTGGACGTGAACACTGCCAAAACACTCTTTATGTATCAGCTTACGACATTGTTTCTTCCTGGGTCAGTTATCGACTGACTTTTTCTAAATTCATCTATTTGCATTAGGTGGCTTTCTCAATTGAGAATTCATTTTGATCCACTGTGCTGCTTACTCTTATGCATTCACCCCTTCTTTAGTTTGTGGCACTTCCCTGAAGCGGGTGGAAGCTTCTACGGGCTATCGTGTGTACATAAGAAGAAAATGTCCAATCAGAGATATTGACAAGGTAACATTATTCCTAGTTTTGTTATTTATTAAGAAAAGAAACTTTCATTATTTTCATTTGACGGAGTGGAGACTTTGCCAGAATGGTTGGGTAGCCTTACATCCCTTAAGGAGCTGAGGATTCTTTCTTGCAATAATCTAAAGAGCTTACCTAGTGTCCAAGCTATGCAACGCCTCACCAACTTACAAACTCTATATATTGCTGGATGTCATCCCCATCTAAAGGAAAGATGCACCGAGGACAGTGCCACGGATTGGCCTAAGATTTCTCACATTCCAAATATCGCTAGTGAGTTTTTAAATTCTTGAAATCATATTACAGAGGTCGTGTTGCATGTTTTTCATTTTTGTTCTTTTATTCTGTCTCCTCTACTACTACACAAAAATTTAAACTAGTTAACAAGGTTTGTTTTTTCCTTCTCCCTCTTCTTTTAAATCAGTTGAGGTCGTGTATGAAGCTTTGCAACGCCTTGCGAAACTACAACAAATGCATTGCGGAAAAACCAAAGTATGTATACAGTTTGATATTCAGGGGATGGAACTTTAAGGGGAATGGCTACACAGTTCTCCAAGAGTACTTGTATTCCATATTTTTTGTACAAACAAATCCAAATGGCTCGAACTTTTTGCATTGAAATTAAGTCATGTAAGCTTTTCAAACCACACCTGCTCTTCTCTTCTAATTGATCAATACACTCTACAGTTGACTTCTGACTTACTATATATGTTGTGTGTTTCCCACTGGCATCTATATTTCTTTTGGCATGCTGTGGCCGTTTTCAGGATACTCAATGAGTGGAAACTGAGTCCAAGTGCTGATGTACAAGGTATCAAATTTCCGTTCACGGTATTCAAATCTTGTTATAAACTTGGAAGAGCAATGCCAAGACTTGCAATCATGTAAAATTATGTTCAGATAATATAAACATAGATTTACTGCAATTGCTTTCTGTTTGTTATTATTCTTACAAAGTTTTTTGGGTGAAATTTTTAAGGTTACTTGTGATTTCTGAACAGTTTTTTTCAATCGCATGATGAACAATGGTTTGGATTCAGTTGATTATTTAACTGCTATTTCAAATCCCTTGAGTAACTTGATGAACTGTTAAATGCCTGCATTATTGCAGAAATTAGGTAAAGAATCATCAGTTGCAATGCTAGGTTAGGGATTTTATAATTTGGCAAATTTAAGAAATCCGTGGAAAGGTCTACAAACCCGAAATTGATAAAATTCACCATTGGCAGGTTTGGAAAGGAGCTCAATTCCATTCCTGATGTTCAAGGTTGATCATTGCAGCTTGAATTATTACATTTTAAAGGGTGGCCAAAGCTCAAGTCTCTGCCTCATCAAATTCAACACTTCTCTTTAACTGGTTTATATATCAACTACTTGAGGGACTGGACTTGAGGGACTGGAGACTTTACCAGACTTGTTGGGTAACCTTACATCCCTTATAGAGCTGGGGATTAGGAATTACAAGAATTTGATGAATCTACCCTTTGCCAAAGCTATGCAATGCGTCCCCACTTTACTGTCGGAGTGAATTAAGCAACGTAAGTTTTTCAAACTCCACCTCATTTCCTCTTCTAGTAATTGAGTCAACTTGCTATATATGTCGTGTTTCCAATAGGCATATATAACTCTTTTAGCATCCTTTGGCATTTTTCATGACGCTCTTACTCAACTGGAACGATGTAGTGCAGTAGGTACAAACAGAGTCCAAGTAGTGTAACACAAGATATGTTTTTCCATAAAAGTGGTGATTGTTGTTTTAGATATTGTTTCATCCTTCTTTCAGCCATTGCATGCTAGATTTCTCATTCTACCTTGTTCGGTAATATACTTGCCTTACAGTCCTTTTCAAGCTAGGATGTAATTTCCGAATTGGATCATGACGTTGTTGTTGAGAAATATATTGAAATCGAACCGGATTTGGTTGTTCAGCCATAAGTCAATCACAATTAGTCACAGAGCTAGACTAGTTTTGATTCTGATTCACATTGTTTTGTTCCAAAACTTTTTAAGTGGAATTCTGCTTCTGGCCAGATTGTTATCTCAAAGTTATCGGCTAATGATTTTTTATCCTGATCACAATGGTAGTGGTACATTTATCACATTTGTTGCTTCGATCTCTTGCAGTTTACTTACTCCATTGGTTCCTGCACAATAAGGAATTTTGTTTATATTATCCCGATACTTGTTTTCAGGTTAACGACGTTAATATAATTTATGGAACTCCTGTAATTGATTTCTTATGAAGATTTTAGACTCATAGTTTTGGGGCTACTTGTAATTTCTGAATCATATGCACAGTGATTTGAATTCTGTTGATTTTGTTTGTAATTGAAATCGCTCGAGTAACTTGGTGAACTGTTGAGTGATATTATTGTGAGAGTACCAATATGAAATGTTCATTTTGCAGCAAGCTCATTGGACCATGGTATCACTCATGAGAGTCTTCGAGGGGTTTTTTACTTTCATGGAACTCACTATGCCTCAGCGGTGGCAGGTTATGCTGTTGAAGAAGTAAAATTGCAACATATAAAGTAAGCGAGTTTTTCTGCTGCGGTCATATCAGGCTATATGTTTTAAGGACAAGGATTATCTGCCCTCCCACTTTATATTAACGTGTGGTGACGGTTAAGCCACGTTAACATTTTATATTACTATTTATTTTTGTCTAATTATCTCTATAAAAAAAATATATAAAATATTGACGTGGTTTAACCGTGACCACACAAAACAGGAGGACACCGGAAGTGGAAAGGCAGACAATCCTTGTCCATGTTTTAATATACAGAATTAGTATGAAAATTAATACTCATGGTAATTTCTTTCCTGCAGCTTTTACTTGCTGTTGGTTACTTGGTCATATACGATGCGAGGTGACCTAGTTGTTCATTCTTCAGCGGATTACCTTCGGCTCTACAGGCCCGGACTTGTTCTCCAATTCTTCTCAACTGGCATTTTCTTGTTTCTTCACCAAATTCTTTTCAAGTGGAATTTTCTTCAAGATAGCATGTGGTCCAATATTCTGGTGGATAGGATGTTAGATTTCTACCCATGCATTCCGGATTTGAAGCTCTCCATTTCTGTAAATTATTGTTGTAGTTTCGAATTCCCGCCCTCCCCCTCCCTAATAATCGTCAATTTTCTTTCTTTCTTTTCAAATGTTTCTTCAAGAACATTGGGTAAATTAAATTTTACCACCTTGGAGAAGAACGTAACGTATGTCAGGATTCTCCTTCCACCAACTCAGAATCTTAGAGAAGAACTTTTCATCTTTAGTTTCATTTGTGTTCCATTCTAAATCCATTTCTTTACGTTCCTTTGTCTTTAAAAAAAAAAATATGAATCCTAAAAACTGAAATAAATTCGTTAGCAAACGGGTTTTAGATTGATATTTTTATGAACTCAAAAAGATTATGCCAAAAGAATGCAAATGATTCGAGTCCGACGCAACAAATAATTTGATATTGCATGAGTATTTCTTCAGAATCCGATATATTTATTTTCTTTCTTGGATTGGTAATTACCATGTGGGAAGTTGATATGAGTAAAGAAAGCTATGTAATTAAGGCATTTTGGACTAAGCCAGGTAACAAAAAAAGGAAAAATTCTATAACGGTTAATTGACTGTATCACGAACCAAGTGAATGAACAACTGAATATGTAGTCAAATATAACTAAGAATCACGATATATACTATATTCCTACCCATACTAGTAAC